GGGGGGGGGGGGGGGGATTATAATTCAATTAATGCTAAAATAACTGTAACCAATCCCAGATTAAGCTTTTAGGTTTGAAGGGGGAGAAGAAAAAGCAACCAAAATGCTGTTCCCCAGTAACCACACACCAGAATTTCTCCTCTCCATTAATCCCAGGGGTGAGAGCTGGTGCTCAACACAAAGTGTGCGTTGGTGTTGCCCCTTGTATTTCAGCACGTGGCACAGCCCCGTGTCCTTGGGGTGCCCCGGGGCTCCCAGGAACCACTTACCTGCGGAGGACTCCTCCGAGGAGAGAGGCGTTGAGACACTCGGGGGGAGAGAGCCTCCTCTGCACCTCCCCGACCGTCACCTTGTACTTGGAGGTGGAGCTGAGAAGGGAGAGGCGGCCGGGCACGGAGCAGAAGACCTCGTTGGGGTTGGTCACCCCTCCGATCAGGCTGTCTTTGTTCATCGAGAGGGTGGAAATGGTGGTGCCGTTGGCCTTGGAGGGGATGGGCACTGGGAGATAAGGGAGGGAGAGAGAAGAGACCGTGGTTGAGAGACTCCAGAGCCAGGGACGCTGCTCGGTGACTCTCCTGGCAGCTTTCTGGCCCCCAGCACCCGTGGCAGACGTCAGCAGGGCTGGCAGGGATATCTCAGTTAGTTTCATATTTTCCCCAATAAACGAAGGGAGGTGAGGTGATGAAACTAAATTAAAGAAAGGAAAAAAAAAAAATAACTAATGGAAGAAGCCTGGACTCTGCTCTCGCCTGCCTTCCCACGCCTTCCAGCTCTACTGTTAATTAAACCCAAGTTTTTGGGCTGCTCTCCCGGAGGGTTAAGGACTGTCTGCAGCATCGCTGCCCGGACCTGTGACCAGCCTCCCCTCCCTGTCTCCTGGGGTGCCCGGGGAGGTGGGTGGCAGCGGTGGCCGTTCCTCTCCCGGCTCAGGGATGGGGTGGCAGCCACAGTCTGGGTCCAGGCACACGGTCCCAGGGGGCAGGATGGGCAGCCACCACCTCCACACCCAGCAGAAACCATGCCAGGCTGGCTGAGAGCCGTGTTTGCCAGCACCAGCCCCCAGGAACCCGGGGAAAGAGTTTCTTTGACTTCAGCTTTGGGATCAGCCCCACAACAAGCCACAGCCCTGAACTTCCATCATCCCTGGCTTAAAAGGGCAGCTTGAGAAAATCAAACCCCGTTAATCCAGCACAGAATTCCTTTAACTTAATGGGCAAGAGTTGGTTAACACCAGGGGTGAGGTGGGCAGTGGTGCTGCAGCATCACATCGGGCCCTGGCATCACACCCGGGGGGGGTGGGCACAGTTTTCCCTTATGTCATTCCAGTCAGAAACGTTCTCAGACGCAATAAAGGTTTATGGGTTAAAACCGTGGCTGAAACCTGTGCCAAATCTCTCCGGCTTTTCTGTTCTGAAATTAATAACCAAATTAACCCTGAAAAGAAAAAGAAAAAAAAAGCCCAACCGAAAAAAAACCCCAACAACCAGGTTTTGAAAGAATCCAAAGAGGACTGGAAATGCCAAGGCTCCAGATCACTCCAGCCCTGGCATTCCTCGTGGCTCCTCAGTAATGACTGTTCCACAACACACATTCAGATGGTTCCTGCAAGTAACGCAGCAACGAAAGCCAGGGCGAGATGAGGTTTTATGAAGGAAATACACATGCCCAGAATGAAAAAGAAAAGCCGAAAATTAACTGGGGAGGGGTCCGTAGGCTGGACCTATTAGTGGGCGCTTACAATCAGCATATTGTAAATACAGCTCAACAACTTGTTAGTGTGGCAATAAAAAAGCAGCACATGGTACATAAAAACGGCCAATGTTTTAAGACTAAAAGATGAATGGGAAGGAGTTAAGGTACATTAAGTTTCCTCTCAGCATGAAACACGGACCAAGGCAGGGGATGAAGGGCAATATGGACCAGTGCCCCACTGGAGACAGCCACGGCCACGCGGGGCTTTGCCACCACTGCAGCTGGTGGAGGGATGTTCAGGGAAGAGCAAATACAGGAACATCACCGTGCCACGCAGGAAACCAAGCTATTTCCAGGATGTGGCAACTTCAAAGCTCCCCTCCGCAGGCCCAGAACAGGTTCTGTTTGTCTCTAGGGGTCACCCTTAAAATAAAAAGTCAGAGTGTGTTTCACACGTAGCCATGCAGCCCTGCCAGGCGTGTGGCACGTCCGGGCACCCCGCAGACCTGGGTTCTGCTGCAGCAAGGGCCACCCCCAAACCAGACACCCCTGGAGATTATCAAACACTTTGTCTGAAAGGAGCTCTGCATAATTTACATATTCTGTTCATTTTGTGCATGCCTGAAGCCGTGCATCCCCCGCCGCATGCGGGGCTGGGACCTGGGACCGGGCAGCCATGCAGGGGAGCGGGGCATCGTGCCTTCACCACGCGTGTCCACGACACATGGCATGTATGGAGGAGGCAAACCCAGCTGGCACCAGTGGGAATTAACAGCGGAGCCTACGGAAAACCGGGTTGGGGATGGGTCTGACACAGCTCCCAGGGAGGGGACGGATGGGCAGGGCGGTGGATGGATGCCGATGCGCAGCGGGGCGATGACATGGAGACACCACAACACGTTTGAAACATGGACTGGCACGTCTAGGAATGTCAGAAACAAACCCCCCGAAGAGCTGTGACCCAGTGCCTGCTGCTGCCAGGATGTGCCCAGAGCAGGCACCTCCGTGCCACCAGCCAGCCCTGCGGGCACGTCACAGAAGGTGACCCACTGGCACTGCTCTTCTGCCTCCAGGTCCCCATCGTGGCCAGAGCCCCATCACATTGGGCACACGTGGGCATGAGATGGGGTCAGCGGCATCACGGGGGGGTTGCACCCTCAGGGGGATGGGGAGGGAGGAAGGGAAGGGGTGACAGGCCCTTCCTGCAGGGGTTTGTGGCAGCGCTGGGAGCTGAGCCGGTCTCTGGAGTCCTGTAACAGTGCTTCATCCATTAGACAGCGTTGCCTCAATACAACAAGAATAAACACAGCCACGTTTGCCATTAATTATTAATTATTGTTATTTGGCCTCACCTGCTGCTGTTTGCCTGGTCTGATCTGCAGCTTGTTTGCCCATAAACATGCTGCAGGAGGGAGACAAGCTACCATTAAAGCCTGACAGCTTTGTTTCCTTGGCTTTGGGGGAACCAAAATTGTCTCTGGTCATCTGAGTAAACCAAAAGTCCCCCTCGATCTTCAGCTGCTGCTTTCCTGTTCCCGCAAGCAGCAGGTGATCGGAGCACCTGAGCCAGCCTGCAGACAAGAAGGAAGCATGAGACCGTTGTGGGTGGGCAGGGGGCACAGCCCGTAGCCCAACGCCCCGGCGCACTGGCCACGTGGCCAACCCCTGCGCCACACAACCCTTCCCAACCCAGATGGGTGCATGCAGGCGGCCGGCCCCACCACGAAGGGCCACGTGCCCCATGGAGAGGGTCCATCCCAGCCAACGGGGCAGAGAAGTGAACCAGTGGGGCAGAGGATGGGGTGGAGGGGTTCACCACGAGGTTTCGCTGGGTGCCAAACAGCCACAACGCGAGCAGGGGGCTCTCGGTGCCACCGGGCCCCAGCAGAGGAGCCACCTGAGCCCCACACATGGTGCTTTGAAGCTGGGAATGGAAATGTCACATCGGTGTCACTGCACAGGTCACCCCTTCTGAGGTCTCCTGGGTTTGGCCATGGAGATGCCCGTCCTCGACACGCAACAGGACAGTGCCTTTCCCTCAACAACCCAGCCCTTACCCTGGTCACCCCCATGGCAGCGGCTTGGGCAGGCTCAGCTCCCACTCGTGACCGTGGAGAACCATGTTTTCACCAAAAACACACCCCAGAGATGCTTGTCCATACAGTGAGGGACCAACACATCGCACAGGCTGACGAGGAAAGGGTTAGTGGCTGGTGCTCAGGTGCTTGGCCCCCTCCCAGCCCTGCCTGATGAGTGGGACGGGGCTCAGCTGGGTCCCCCCACCCCAGGAAAATATAAAGGGCTGAACTTCCTCTGTGAGGCTGTGTTTGGGTTGATTCAGCCAAAGAAAGGAGAAGATGAGGATGTTGGGGTTTTAGCAACAGCTCAGAAAACTCTTGGAGAGTGTAAGGTCTTTTTCTCTTACTTACATCATTATTATTTCCTAATTTCCCCTGTGTGAGCTCCACAAGCTGTGTGATAGGTGGGTGAAGGGAGGGGACCCTGCAGCAGCACTGGGGGAAGACTGTTCCCAAAAACTGGGATCTGCAGCTGGACCCACTGGTGCCAGGAGCCTCATGGCAAAGACACCACTGAACTGGGAGAACGTGAGGGTGAACATCCGTGCTCTGGTACTGCCTGACTTCTTTATACAAGAAACTGGGGGCTTTTGAGAAAATGAGCTGTTGTGTGGGTTAGTGTCACCCCGGGAGCTGGGGATGGTGGGAGAGGGACCAAAGCCCTGGGCACAGCCCTGGCAGGGTGAGTTACTGGAAAGTAGATGTGTCTGCACAGGGCAAAGCTAAAACAGAAAATAAATCTTAGTCTGTTCCCTGAGATCCCTTGTTTGTTGAGGTTTGGGTGCTTCACTTTGTCCCTCTAAAGTCTTTTTTTTGCTCTTTCCTTTAGCTGCCAGATACTCCTGAGAGGTTTTTTCCCCCCCACCATGGGAGCGTTGTTTAGTTCAGATTAATCCTGCTGCTTTTAATTCAGCAAATCAAGGAGCCTGGACTGGTGCTGCTGGTACTCAGCTCCTCCTGTAGAGAGGAGCTCAGCTGTGGATTTCACAAACTGAAGCCTTTTGCCCTGGGGAGCAGTGGGGCTGGATGCAGGTGAGCACCACGGGGCTGCACAGGACCAGTGTCTCAGGGATGGGATTTGAAAGGGAAAACTGATTTCGAAACAAAGTTCTGCTGACAGACCTCAAAGAGCTTCACATGTCGCTAATCCCCAGCCCAGGGCTGGGACGGGACCAGCCACTTAAGTCATTAACTGGCTCCCGGTGCCTCGGTGAGCTGGACCATTATTGCTACTAGGGAAAATTGAGGCACAGAACAAGTTAAATGATTTACCAAAGATCGGGTGTATGGGCATGATCCGAATGCCTGCGCTTCTGGTCTGTGGGAATGCTTTTTATAAGGAATCCAGGCTTCACAGCACTTCCTAATGCCTGGGAACAGCTACAGAGCACCCATCAAGTGTGGCCTCTGCTTTTATTACTCCAGGCTTTCTTTCTAATGCTGTGCAGTATTTGTCACTGTGTCATCTTGCCTCCTGATGCTCTTGTATTTTGAAGTCTGAGAGGGGCAGCGTGGCAATCCCAGGCGCAGGATGTCTTCCTGAATGAGGGGAGGGAAACTGTCCCCATTTCGTCTGTGTAACGTCACAGGGAGCGTTTCTTGGGGCTCAGCACCTCGCTGCCTCCTTTCATGTTGCAGGGCAGGTACCACTTGGAATACACCATACATTTCAGGAGAGCACTGAGCAGCAACGTGGAGTGACACAAACTCCGGAGTGGGTGGCCTGTCCTGGTGCAGGGACTCATGGCTTCATCTTCCCTTTGAACCCACGAGGCTTGTGATCTTCCTTCAGAGGTGCCTTGTTTTGTGCCAAGTTGGACCTAGTTTGTCTTCAAAACACACCTTGGGTGTAGCTGTCAGACGATGGAACTCACAACTTCATGTGCTGTGGCGTGAAAACCCCTGATTCGGAGAGAGGGAGATTCCAAAACAGGTCCTGCTTTCCCAGATCAGCAAAGGCTTCCTCCCTTGGCTCTCCTGAGCTGGGGAGCACCCTGCCCATGTTGTTCCCCTGTGCAGGCAGCAGCCTGGGGGTGGCACAGAGTCCTCAGGCTGGGGTGTCCACAGCTGGGTCCCTGCTCTGCCAGGGAATCATTTTATGACACTGGGCAAGTCAACTCCCTGGTTTGGGCTTGACTGTCTCCAGTGACTAAATGGAGATAATAATATCTGCCTGGGAGGGGTGCTGTGATACCTAATTAAAACTTGCCAAGTGATCCCAGGATGAAAGGTTTCTCCAGGTGAGAAGCCCCTGGGTGGTAAAGGGAGCCAGAAGGAGCTGGTCCAGCACCTCAGCGTGGGATGTGAAGATGCTCCTGGGAGAGGTGGACACCCCTGGAAAGGCAATTCCCCTGAACACGAGGTGCTGACACTTCCAGCCACGCTGGGGGTGTGATGGGGTCCCACAGCCTTGGTTCTGTGAGGGCTTTTCAGGAGGTACCAGGCAGCAGGGGGAGAGAAGAAACACCCCTCAACTGGTGATTGCTCAGTTGTGACACAGTTGATGGAGGAAGGAGCTTTGTGCCTTCAAGGTGTCCCAAGATAAGCCATGAAGTTTCTGATGCTTTTGTTCTGCTTTGCAGAGGTGGGTGCCTTGGTTTTTTAAGTTCCAGGTACAAAGAAGAAGGAGGAGGAAAAGAAACCCCTTCTTCAAAGGCTTTTACCCAGGGAGCTGGAAAGTCTCGGAGAATTTCCTGCTTTTCCCTGAGGAGTTTCAGCACAGACTGACCTGCATCCCTGTGTCTCTGCCATCGGCCAGGCTGACCATGCTCCATCCCTGAGCTGCCGTCTCCTTCCCTCTCCTTCCCCATCCACATTCACAAACACTTGTGTCTGAAACCTCCACTGTGATTCCTGGAAAGAGCCACTTTTCCGTGTAAATGTTCAGTGCAAAAGGTGGATCTGCAGCCCAGGCTCAGGCTCTGCCTGTGGGAGCTGTGGGATCACCACCAGCCCCTCCTGGGGATTCTTAGGGGAAAAGAGATTTTTTTTTTTTTTTTTTTGCCTACAAAAAGAAAAAAAGACGTACTGACTCATTTCCATCTGAGACCCGTGCTGCCTGCCTGCAAAATGATTTGTAAGCAGGAAAATTTGTGGTACTTGGAAATTGAATTGCTTATCGTGGTGTTATTTGTTCAGTTCCTTTTCCAGCTGGAGCTGGGGGTGCTGCGAGGGGAAAAACAAGTCCAGAGGGAACATGCAAATCGCTGCCCGTCTTACAAGTCTGTTTTCTTCTCTCCTCAGATCCATTACAGGTAAATCCTCCTCCTCGGCAGCGCCGAATCCCTGGATATTGGAGCTTTTGTTGCAACATCTCTTTCAGAAGTGGGAGTGTGCCACAGCTTAGATCCCATTTTAAAGGGGTATCAGTTAATCCTTTTAGGAGTCTACCTGGGACAAAGCCATCTCTCACCTTCAGGCACAGTACTGTCTCCAGTCACCCCAAGAGCATCTCAGCCCCCCGGGTCTCTCTCTGGGGGGTCAGCTGTAGGTCCAGGGCAGCCCCAGAAGACTCTGCTCGTCCTGCCCTGCGAAGGGGCACCAGGCAAAGCTGTTTTGGCTGCTTCTCACTGCAGCTGCTGGGATTTTGCTTCCACGATATTGCAGGTCTGATGATGACAGCCCTGAACCCCCTCCCAGGTTTTTTTTCCCCCCAGTAGATGGGGGTCCCACAGCTCTGCCCTGCACTGGAAGCTCTGATGCTTGTGCGTAGCCCCTGATGAAAGGTGCTCCAGGAAGGTGAGGGATTGCTGCTGTCTTTCAGGAAGAGCTTTCCATGAGCTAATCTAACCTTCGTTTGAATGTCTCTGATGTAAATTATAAGACGAGATACATACATAAAGAAGTATCTGCATGTGGGTGTGAGCCAGAGGCTCCTACCATCCCTTTAAAAGCCCCTTTTTGCCGAGGAGGTGCTGCAGAGTTCAGCTGCTCCAATTTCCTGGTGTTTCAGCAGAGAGGTATTTATTGATGGTCCAGGGAAGGAGGTCAGTGCCATCAGCTATATTTCAAACCCACAGCCTGTAATTATCCTTTCTTCCTAGAGGGGATTATACAGGTATTTTCTTTATCTTGAATGCACAACCTGCACCAAGTCCCCATGTCAAAGAGCCTCTCTAGGAAACGCTGTAATAGGCTCCGAGGCCTTTTCAAATGGAAGGATGGAAAGAATCTTGGTGGTGTGGGGTTTTTTTTTTTTTATCTCAGGGCTTTCCAGATTGCTGAGTCCTGATAGGGAAATGGATCTGGGACCCTCAGAAGGAGAGAGGGAGCAGGGATACAACTCGGCAGCTTCAAACTATTCCCACGAGAAAGCAAATCAGGCTGGGTCCCATGCCTATGCAAAGCTCCTGCACTTAACATTTTGATTCCCATGCAAATCAATACATCAGGATATGAACTAAATGCTGAGGTGCCATGTGACATTAATTGCATTTTTCTTTCTGTGCCTCTGTTTTGCCCAGTGAAGTACCTGCCCTGTGTCGCTGCAGGTG